ATGGTCGCGACTACAGAGAAGTTGTTCTTGTTGCCATATAATACTGACCATGAGTTAGATTTTATTCTAAATTCATTTATTATAATTATTCTATTTTTGCCATTAATCTATATAACATTTCCGTCTAAACTGTTGTCTTATTTTATAGTGGACACTGGTTGTTGCTCGCGATTAATCCGATGAAAGAAACAGTGTATTATATAGATTCATTGGATGGCAATACAACAAAATATCCTGATCTGAAGAATATGGTTGATACGTAAGTGATGAGATATATTGTTCTGAATAGTTATATATCTTTATTTATTATGTGACATTGTTCTAAATATGTGTTTATATTATGTTAGAGTTATACAAATATTCAGAGCACAAGGAGATGCAACAGTGCCAAAAAGGAAGGCTAACAACATCAGCTGGATCAGAGTGGAGGTATATTTTCCCATGTTTGACTGTTATAGTGGTTCTACTTGATAAAACTATTTAAAGTATATATACTGATAAATGTTCGTTTGTTTTTTCCATTTACAGTGTCCTCGTCAGTGCAATGGGATTGACTGCGGATATTTTGTATTGCGCTTTATGAAGGAAATTATTCTTTCAAGTCAAATAGAGATTCCAATCATGGTATGGATCAATTCATAAGTTATATGATTCATTTTGATAATTAACCGATATTTCATTTGAGTAATTAGTTTTAAATTAAATCGTGCATGTTTTGTTATATTATGTAGTACTTTGATGAATACAAGTGCGGTACTTACTCGAAAGCAAGATTGGAAGAAATTAAGAAGGACTGGTGTCAATTTATTCTTGAGTTGAGAATTGTATAACGTATCTATTTGTAAAGTTATCGGATTTGTAATTATATGTAAATTGAATGTATTTGTGATAATTGGAGGATTAAATGTATTTTGTGATGTTGTAATATATTTAAGCAGGTTTATGTGTATTAAAATGGTTATGGGCAAAGTGATGAATACACATAAATAAGGCCAAAGTAATTGTTATATATAAGGTCAAACTGTTGAATTAAAGACCTGAATTATAAGCAGGGAATGTAATTGTTATAAGCAGGTTTATCGAAAAATATATAAAAAATGTGATTATTTAAAAAAAAAATTTAAAAATCGTGAAGAATAGACAGCGCTTTTAAAAAAAGCGCTGCTAAAGGGTGCAAAGAGAGGCAAAAAAAAGTGCTGCTATAGGTTGGAAAAGGGGGGGGGGGGTCTATGAAAGCGCTGCTAAAGGGGGTCTAAGACAGCGCTTTTAAAAGCGCTGCTAAAGGGGGGAGGGAAAAGCGCTGCTATAGGGTTGAAAAAGCGCTGCTAAAAGCGTTGTTGAAGGGAGGGGAAGAAGGACTAGGCAGCGCTTTTAAAGCGCTGCTATAGGGTGAAAAAAGCGCTGCTAAAAGCGTTGCTGAAGGGATCCTTTAGCAGCGCTTTTTCTTTAAAAAAAAGCGTTGCCTTTACCTTTAGGAGCGCTACTTTTGGCAGCGCTGCTAAAGGCCAAAAAAAAGCGCTGCTAAAGGTATTTTTTGGCATAGTGGATCAGAATCAATTTTCATCTGAGTCTTTCCCTTATCTCCAAACTTCAACCTTCCTTCTTGGATGACGTTTTTGCACCAAATCCCTGAAAAGAAAACAATCAGAAGTTTTATGACCTAAGAAATTATGGTATTTACAAAATCCTCTTTTCTTTCTTTATTCTACAGGAGGTATTTTAGCACCGACAGATACTATTATCTATCTATCTTTAACTAACAAGTCAAAGATTTTGTCACATTTAGTGACGTCAAAAGTATATGTTCTTTTATGGAACTTATCATTCGACTCAGTGGGATTTTTTCCATTCGACAGAGTTAGAAATTTACAAGCGTAAGGTGGAACGTGCTTTAACTCAGCAACGTCTACCTCGTTTTCGTCGAAATAGAGTGTTTCGTCACATGTGTTGTTGACACTTTCATTGCATTCAATGAAGGCTACTTTCTTACTCTTGTCAAACCTAGTTTTCTCTTCTTTCAATCTTTCCAAGCGGAAAACTCGATCTGCCAGCTTGCCATATCTCAGAGATATTGAGTGTCTAGTTTTTTCCTAATAGAATAATCTAAACCCCCTGCAGCCATTTCAACTAATTTGTATTCTGGCACTTGGGTGAAGCACCTGGCTTTAAGAAGTCGAAACCTATTTAGGTAGTCATCAATTGGCTCTGTAACTTTACGTTTAATACTAGCCAACTCTTTCAAACTAATCTTGGTCTGTCCCATGTAGAACTGTTCATGAAATAACCGTTCCAACTGAGCCCAATTATAAACAGAGTTAGGTGGTAACGTAGTGAACCACATAAAAGCATTTTTTGTGAGAGAACTTGGAAAATATTTGATTCTAAGACTTTCGTCCCCCGCTATTTCTCCTGCCTCGATCATGTATCTAGTCACATGTTCGACAGTTGATTCAGTGGTATCTCCTACAAACTTACTGAATTTTGGAACTTTCGTCCTTGGAGGTAATTAAGCCTGTAAGATATAATCCACTATAGGTGAAATGTAATTTGGCCTGGTAAAGCCAAAGTTTGCGCCATTTCTGGTCATTATCCTTTCGACCATTGCCGCAAGGTTATTTTCTTCTTCTACGTCATGTCGTCGAACTTGTTTAAGCACTTGGTCAGCATTCTAATTCCTGTTCACCATGACTACCTCTGGTTCTTCCTCTACATCAATAGGTACCTGATTTCTCCTAGGTTCGACCCTAAAAGGTTCATCGATTTTGTGACCTTCCGCATTCGCCCCTTGAATATTCTGTTGCTGATATTGAGGAATGTTTTCAACGACTGCTGCTCTTTGCTCACATGCTGGTACCCCTAAAAAGTAAGCCATGCGGGCTAATTGCGTCACCACCTGTTGATTAGTTTGCGTGGTACTCCAAATTAATGGTTGGAAAATTTCCCCCATCGTCTGGGATAAAGTATGCACCATCTGCATATTACTCTCATCCATTTGTTGCCTTAGGCAATTAATCGATGTAGTTGTAAGGCTGGGCCCCTATGCAGAATACCCGATACCTAAACCTTGACTATTTCGACTGCCTGATCCAGATCTTTGTGCTGGCGAAGACGTCATATTGTCTGAAAATATGGGTGGTGCATTTTACAAACTTTGCATTGTTGCTGTATGCATCCCATATGGTTGACTCCTTGATATTTGTGAAAACCCTGGAGGAGAAACTTGTCTATATACAAAACTTCCCGGAGGTGTTGGAGAATTAGGACTTTGTGGCCCTATATATTCTAACACGGGTTGGGTGTATGTTCGTATACACATTGATCCTGGATTAGTGACGAATTGCATTTGTTCAGACCAAACCGTCGTTGGTGGTGTTTGTCCTCCTGTCGAAGAGACTGAATTTGGTACATTTTGAGATCCCATACTCGACTGAACATTCGAAATGCTCCCTTTGAGATCAACTTGTTGATTAGCACTCGTGGCCATTCTTTTATGATATTTCTTCTTTGGTACTTCGTCTTGTGTCGTGGCTAACTTTCCACTTCTTAATATCATACAACAAAGTACTTGAACAAACTAAAAACTGTTTAGCACTGGGTCCCACCGGGTGTGCCAATTTGTTTACTGTGATTTTTGGTAAACAACCGCTGGTCTATCAATTTATGATAAATTGACTAACTTGCAGGATCAACCATACTAAATCTTAGAGCATGTGCTAAGAGTGTATGAACTTTTGTTTCGATTGAGTGAAATCAAGAATGAAGAGTGCAAAAAGTAGTAATGTTGTAAAACGTAACGCTGAAAGTAAAAGGCTTTAAAATAACAGTTGAAATGTAAAGGCGAAAAAACTACTGCCAAACTCCATGTTCGACGTAAATCCTTTGAAATTCAAATAACTTTAAAATAGAGATGCAAGTAAATGGCTTAAAAAATAACTAATCAGGACTCCGCGTTCGACTAGGGGATCTTTGCAAAGCAAATGGGCAGAAAATTATAAAGGACAGTTTGAAAGGTAAAAACTGAAAGTTAAAAGTGGCAAGTGAATTGTAAAGGCAAATCGCATTGATAATAAAAGGTTTGGTGTTGTATCACGTACATTCTCGTTAATTCGTTTCTCTACACGCGGGTACTCAGAGTTGTATGAACTAGTACGGTAATGAATGAACACACTTATTACATAAAATTTACATCTATTTATAGTGCTATAAAATAACTTCCGCATGGCGGTTGAGGCTTCCCAACGTACTCCTTTTGGCGCTATCTTCGTCCTTTTAACCGTTCCCACATTTTCTTCTACTTGATTTGAATTTTGAATATTTGGCAATTCCCCCCAATTTTGTCAAAACCTCCTTCGCGCTTCCCTTGTTATAGTCCTCGTCGAACACTTTCTAACACTTAGCGTTTTTTTAGCTTCTTTTCACCTTTCTTCAACTTGAAGCTTTTCTTAATTTGGGTTGAAACTTTCTTGTATACTAAGTATTCAAATCTTTGACTTCAGATAATTCTGATCTTCGACTAATGAGTCAACACATAGGTATAATAATAATATTATATTAGGATAACTTTTATTATCATTAACACATTTTTATTAATATTAAATTTAATAACTATTATAACAATTATAATAATAATTTTTATTATATTGCACCGTATCTTAAGATATTTTATAATTTTTTCAAATACATTGCACATTATAGTGTTCCTTATTTATTACATTATGGTGTTGTTTATTTATTATATTTGTCAGTGAAACTATACACGAAACTATAATAATGGAAAAAAATAAGAGAAAAAGAATCTCATGCAAGTTGATAGCTTGGAAAGACTAAGCTAATCTTTTGAAGATGCATTAGTCAGCGAATTGAAATTTTATTCCAATGACATGCATGTTTGAGTTGAAAGTGTAGGAGACTAGGAGTTGAGGACATAAATGTATTTTCCGCAACATTATCTTCTTATATCGTAGACTTTCAACCTCTCAATTCAGCAATTTGCTATTCCGATGGCTTCCAGCAGTATCACCCAAACCAGCGAGTCTTCACCTCCCAAGAAATATGACGTCTTCGTTAGCTTCAATGGTGATGACACACGCGATGGTTTCACAGATCATCTTTTCGGTGCCCTCAGAAGAAAAAGCATTATTGCATTCAGGGATAATATAGACCTCAAAAGATGTGAATCCATAGAACCCGAGCTCTTCCGCGCAATCGAAGCCTCTCAGATTTTCATTGTGGTATTCTCCGAGAACTACGCTTCCTCAACTTGGTGCTTGCGAGAATTGGAACACATTCTTCTTCACTGCGGTCAACTATCTGAAAAGCGTGTTTTTCCTGTTTTCTGCGATGTTGATCCTTCTCATGTGCGATATCAAACGGGGAGTTATAAAAAAGCCTTTGATGAACATGAACAAACACTCTCTCATGAGTCCGACAAAGAGAAACTGCGAGGATGGAGGAAATCTCTCACAGAAGCAGCCAATATCTCTGGACGGGATCTACGTAAAAAGTAACTCTTTCCCTCTTCAAACTATACTTTACTAAAACGTTGTTCAATATATATACAGATTATGGCTAACTCTTTTAAACTTTCAGGCCACAATATGCGGGGATTGAAATGGTTGCTCAGGATATAATCGATACTTTTGGTTACAAATTTTCATATCTTCCAAATGATTTAGTTGGAATGCTTTCTCCTATAGAGGAATTGAAAAAGTATTTACTTTTGGACTCTCTTGATGATGTTCGGGCTGTTGGAATTTGTGGGATGGGTGGAATAGGGAAGACAACTCTCACTTCTGTTTTATACGGCAAAATCAAAGTCTCTCATCCATTTGATGTGTGCTGTTTTGTTGATGATGTAAGTAACATTTTTAGAAAGTACGGTCCAATTGGGGTACACAAGCAAATTCTACATCAAATTCCAGGCGAAGAACACCGTCGAATATACAATCCTTATGATGCAACTAATTTGATACAGGGTAGACTATGTCGTCTTAAGGCTCTATTAGTTTTTGATAATGTTGATCATAGGGAACAATTGGAGAATCTTGCTGTCAATCGTAAATTGTTAGGTGCAGGGAGTAGAATCATTATAGTTTGTAGAGATGCTCATATCTTGGAAGAGTATGGAGTGGATGAACTTTACAAAGTTCCACTCTTGAATCGGGCTAACTCTCTTCAATTGTTTTGTCGAAAAGCTTTCAAATGTGATACTTTGAGTGATGCCTACGAGGAGTTGGCAGGTGACATATTAGATTATGCTGATGGCCTTCCACTGGTGATTAAAGTATTAGGTTCATTTTTGCATGGCCGAAGTTTCTCTGAATGGAAAAGTGCATTGGCTAGATTGCGAGAAAGTCCAAACGAAGTTATTATGGATGCGCTGCAGTTTAGTTTTTATGGGCTAGAGAAAATGGAATTACAAATATTTCTTGACATTGCTTGTTTTTTCAACGGGCGTGAGGAAAAATTTGTTAAACATGTTTTAAATTGTTGTGGGTTTCATCCTGACATTGGATTAAGAGTTCTTGTTGATAAATCACTTATAAGCATTTCAGATGAAAGTAAGATTGAAATGCATGCTATGTTGGGAGAGCTAGGTAGAAAAATAACTGAAGAGGCAAGAAAGTGGAGTAGGTTGTGGGTCCATAAAGATTGCTACGATGTTATGTTAGAGAATATGGTAAGATAGTTGTTTGAAAATATAGAACTTATTTATATTTTTTAATAAAAGCTTAATATATATTGAAATATTTTAGGTTTACCTTCTTCTTTTGCAATGCTTTAGGAAAAGAATGTTGATGCCATAGTTTTGAATGGAAATGAAAGCGATACAAAAGAATTGATGGCTAAGTCATTGTCAAACATGAGTCGTCTTAGACTGCTCATACTTAAGGATGTTAAACTTTTAGGAAGCCTCAACAATCTTTCTAATCAATTAAGATATGTTGCATGGAATGACTATCCTTTCATGTGTTTGCCGTCGAGTTTTCAACCCAATCAACTTGTTGAATTGATTTTGGTGAATAGCAGCGTCGAACAACTATGGAAAGACAAAAAGGTACTAATAAATTCCTCTGTATAAAATTTTTTCTTTTCTTATAAAGTTAAAACTAGTTCAATATTTTGTTGATCTTTCACATGACAGGATCTGCCCAATTTGAGGACTTTGGATCTAAGCTACTCCAAAAATTTAATCCGGATGCTAGATTTTGGACATGTCACGAATCTTGAACGGCTAAACCTTGAAAGATGTGTAAATCTTGTGGAGTTAGATCCATCAATTGGTCTTGCAAAGAAGCTCGTTTTCTTGAATTTGAAAAATTGCAAAACTCTTAAACGCATACCTAGCTGCATATACGATCTCAACTCTCTTGAATATTTAAATCTTTGCAGTTGTTCCGAAGCGTTTAACAATCCAATCCATTTAGAGTTGCCTTCCTTGGCTAGCTTACATGCTTTATGTGAACTTGATATTAGTTTTTGCGGTCTAAGCCAACTCCCAGCAGATACGATTGGAGGTTTGCACTGTTTACAAAGATTAAATTTAGGGGGAAACAATTTTGAGACCCTACCTAGTCTCACACATCTTTCCAAACTTGTGTATTTAAATTTGGAGCATTGCAAGCTGTTGAAATTTTTTCCCAAGCTTCCTTCACCTGCTGCTATCAAGCACGGCGAATATTTGAGAGCAGGGATGTATATTTTCAACTGTCCTGAATTGGTTGAGAGGCAAAGCTGCAGTAGCATGACTTTTTCGTGGATGATGCAATTCGTTCTAGCAAACCAAGAATCCTCTGCCTCCTTTCAATGGATTGATATTGTTATTCCCGGCAGTGATGTTCCAAGCTTGTTTAACTATCAGAAGGTGGGTAAATCAGTGAAAATAAATCCATCCCATATTATGGAAGACAATAATGTCATTGGAATTGTTTGTTGTGTAGTATTTTCTGTGGTGCGTCATGAACCAACTACAACAGCAAATGGACAGAAAACTGTCTTAAATCTAAGCTTTTGTAGAGATGACAAAAAGGTCCATTTTAGCATTCTACTTGATACAACTCTTGTTATGGACCAATCGAGTCACATGTGGCTAACCCGTTTCACTAAGGAATCATTCTTTACTATTCTGAAAGATATAGACAATAAAGATGGCAATTCTATGAGAATAAAAGCTGACATTGATGACAAAGGTTTGGGTGTGGAGGTGGAGAGTTGCAGGTATTTTTGGTATAACAAGACCCACTGCGGTTAAATTAATAAACATGCAAGCAGAAATTTGTTGGGTTGGAACCACAACTATTTTGGCAATTGAAGATGAGGCACAGTGAAACAGTGACATGATTTTCATCTATTTGAGAGTCATCTAATGGCAAAATGAAAAACTGAAGCTGATTCAGATACAGGTTGTCTTTTCTTTTACTGCTACAGGATGCTTGTGTTACCCGTCATATGACTCCGCCCTCCTGTTTTGGTTGTCTATTTTGTAAATGATACAAATCAAGTATGTTTTATGGCTTCTTAAAAAAGGCTTATGGCAAATAAAAATTTTCTGCATTTTCATCAATATAGAGAAACATCCTAAGCAGAATGATAAGAACACTAATTTCTCATTTCATAGTCCTTGATCAGTAAATACACATTTATATATGGATATTCTCTAATTGAATTAGTAACAAGAAATAACACAATGCTAACAAACTTATTATCTTTGAGTACCCCATCATTTTATTAAAACATAAAAAATCTCTAATAGTGAATTAATAAAGAAATGAGTTACTCCCTCCGTTTTAAAATAACTATTGCACACAAATTAAGAGATATAATGATATTTGCATAAGATATTGCACTTTTACTAAATTAGTCTTATTAATGTATTAAAAATAGTGTATAGAGTAATAATTAAATGATATAATTAGAAAAATAGTAATTATTACTACGTTAAAAAGTGAGAATGACACATTTTGAACAATTTTTTCTCTAAAACGACGGTCATTTTGAAATGGAGGGAGTAATTTGAAGAATATGAAATTAAGAAATTGAGAGAAAAATAAAGAGAGAGTAATTGAGGGTGAGAAGAATAATTGACATTAAGCACAAATGAGAGTTTACAAAGTTTTATATACAACAAGTACACAAAATGATTGGAGATAACAAAACAACTTAACAAAATAAGCTGAAACTAACAGAAAACTGAAAAAACCAGAATTTGCCTTCTTAGCTGGTTACGCAAAATGTCGTAACCGATTACGAGCCTGATACCAGCAATCCCTCGGCCTTTTTTACTCCATAATCGGTTAACATCTCAAACTTTTCTTCAATCTTTTGAACACCTCATTTGTTACCTCCCTTAGTCAACAAATCTGCAACTTGGTATTTGCTTCGACAATATCTCAATCGTAACTTGCCTTCACTCAGTAGCTCCCTCAAATAATGAAACTGCATCTCTATGTGTTTGCTTCTTCCGTGTGCAATCAGATTCTTCGTAAGTTTTATTGCAGAAACATTATCAACTAGAAGTGCAGTAGCCTCACCCTCATTGCTACCCAACTCCTTCAATAGATTCATGAGCCAGTGAGCTTGACACGCACACAACGAAGTCACAATGTACTCAACCTTACAAGACGAGAGTGCTACCATTGGTTCCTTCTTTGAACACCAAGAAATTGATGTCCTACCAAGCATAAAGATGTATCCAGTCGTTGACTTTCTATCATTCTTATCACCACACCAATTGGAATCGGTGAAACCAAGTAAATCACATTTTTGCCCGTATCCGGTGCGGAAAATAGAATTCCATAATCAAGAGTTTCTTTAATGTATCTAAGGATTCTCTTGACTGCTGCCAAGTGAGACACCTTCGGTTTCTCCATGAATCTACTAGCAATACCGACACTAAATGCCAAGTCCGGTCGCGTATTGCACAAATACCGCAATGATCCAATCAATCTCCTATATTGTGTTGGATCCATGTCTTGCTCATCCTCACTCTTGGACAGATGCAACCTTGTTTCACATGGTGTAATGGCAACATTGGAATGCTCCATTTCACAACTCTTCAAGATCTCAAGAGCATATCTCCTTTGATGCATGAGCAGTCTCAATCTTGACTTATGACACTCTATGCCAAGGAAATACGTCATAATGCCAAGGTCCGTAATCTCAAATTCATCCATAAGTTCACTCTTGAACTTAGAGATACTCTTCTCATAGTTGTCGATAATCAATAGATCATCCAATATAAGCAAAGAATGATCACACCGTCATTTGCATCCGATCTCACATAAACTCCATGTTCGAACACGCACCGCTTGAAACCAATATCAACAAGAAATCCATCAATGTGTTTGTTCCAAGCTCTTGGAGCTTGTTTCAAACCATATAAAGCTTTATGTAATTTGTAGAATTTCATCTCTTGATTCTTTACTACAAATCCAGGGGGATGCTCAATATAAATCTCTTCATCAAGTAGGTCGTTTAAAAATGCAGATTTGACGTCCATTTGATATCTCGCCCAATCGTTGTTATTCACAATTCCAACAACTAATCGGATGGTTTAAAGCCTAGCCACAGGTGTAAACACTTCCTCAAAGTCTATACCTTCACATTGCAAAAATCCTTTCGCTACCAATCGAGCCTTATGCTTGATCACCTCGTCTTTGGGATTTGCCTTCACTGTATAGACCTATCGCACATCAATTGGCTTCTTTCCAAGCGGTAAATCGACCAACTCCAAAGTATCATTTTTTTCAATAGATTCCAATTCCTCCTTCATTGCACAAATCCACTTTGAATCGCTTAGAGTCTCTCCCGTGTTCACCGGTTCGGATTCGGCCATAAGCGTAAAGTGAATGAAATCACCATCATCATTGATTTCGTTATCCCGAAATATTTCACATTCTTGGAGTCTCTGAGGCAAAACTCTTTGCCTTGTTGGTCATCTAACATTTCCTCCGTTTTCGGATTCGACATGTTGTTCTGCACCTCCGTGATTCTGGAAATTTTGATTTTCCAGCCCGTAACCGGTTACAGGATTCTCGTAACCGGTTACTGTAACACCCTTTTTCTACCCCAAAATTATCAAGGAAAAATAACTTATAAATCAGAGTGAATAAATAAATCTCATTAAAAAACCACAAAGGGGTGTACATTTCTCAAAGTCAACAAAATTGGTCAATACTTCGTAACGACGGATTTTCCTCAAAATACATCAAACAACATAAAACAGCAGAACTCAAAGCATAAATCAAGGTTTCTCCTCAAAAGGGAACATCAGTAAAATAACCCAATGATATAAAATCAACTCAAAGAACCCAACCCGATGTTACATATCAGAGCAAGACCCTCTAAATTAACCATAAAGGCTAATGACTCTAAAACTTCAAAATATTCCTCGACGGCGTCCACGGCTAAACTTGCTCATCTGCACGTTACCCACGTGGAGGTAACATTCAAACAGGCAGGGTGAGTAAAACACTTCATAATAATCAATGTATAACAATTAATGTATAAACGGCATATTACTCATAATTATATTCAACACATTGATATCCTTCAAATATGCCTCAAAGGCCATAACATCATAATTCATACAAAAAGACTCATAGATGCAATGCGACACAACTCAATGCATGCGGTACCAATCATCGTAGCTCGATGGACACTGGGCCATCAACCCTCCATAGATCCCCATCAATAGGATCAGAGCACATCAAAGTACTTCACATCCACACAGTGGGATTGAAGCCAAATCAATAGAGGTCCTGAACCGAAGTTCGGATGCACATGAATGCATGATGCACACGTCACAATAATAATCCTCACAATAACATCATAGGTGCATAATCATTCATCATATTCATCACCATCAAACGTCATAATTCATCATATTGATCATCATACAACATATCATCGTAATTCATCATATTACTCATCATACAACATATTATCATAATTCATCATATTAATCATCATACAACATATCATCATAATTCATCATATTAATCATCATACAACATATCATCATAATTCATCATATTACTCATCATACAACATATCATCATAATTCATCATATTAATCATCATACAACATATCATCATAATTCATCATATTAATCATCATACAACATATCATCATAATTCATCATATTAATTAATCTCACACATCATGTCATCATATAATCACGTATAAATCACATATTAACTCATAGTCATATTATCCCATATTATCCCATATTAATTCATAATACTACCCCCATATCATCTCATATTAATTTATCAAATTATACTCACGGTAATCCTTACACTATCGCCTATCAATCACATAAACTTCAAAGTTATACTCATGTTAATTCGTCATATCATCACATAGTATTCACATATTAATCCCTAATATCATCTCACATTGCCTCATATTAATTCATCATAATTACACTCGCGGTAATTCTCATACTATCACTTATTATTCACGCAACCTCATTGTCATACTCATAGTAACTCATCACAGGAATCCCAAAATAAAACATCACGACATCGCTGTACACGATCAATTTCGCAAACTCTGCTACTTTCGCTGGCTCGCTCGCTAGGCGAGTCTTGTAGCGAACCCTTCGCTGGCTTGCTCGCTAGGCGAGTCTCTAGCGAACCTTCGCTAGCTTGCTCGCTAGGCGAACAGTGCGATGACAGCAAATTCTGCTACGCACTAGAACTGATTTCTTCCCAAAAACTCATACGATTCACACACCCCATGCCCCCAAAACATCCCTAAATCATCCCTAAGGTCATACGACGATAATAACACCAAATCTATGGTTTATTAGGCCAATCTGGCAACATTTGCACTGCCTAAAACACTATTTTCCTGCAATTGCTCTGAGTGCATCAGAGTTACTCACATTTGAATATTCCTATTCCTACAGGGTCAAACATATCACGATCCAAGGTTTTGGCCACGAAGGTCTAAGGTTTCTAAATTCATGTTACACATCAAACAGTCCGATAAGGTTTCCTAAATTCATGTCAATATTCAGGGATACATGCCATCAATCATAACCTCAAAGTCTATTCATCAATTTCCCTAATTCTCCCAAATCAACCCAACATACCCTAAATCATAAACCCCGCCATAAACACATCGAAAGGCATACATAGAAAATCATGAAATGCGATACTCCCCATACCTTAGCCGATTCAAAGCTTTCACGATTAACTCCGGCAATCTTCCGAAGCTTTTTCCTCCACTGATCCCTCCTCAGA